TTTATAAGCAGCTGATTCTGATGCCAAAATGAATAAATTGTGCATCCCTAGATCTACTATTTCAGTCCATCCAGAAAAATCTGGATTTGCTGCATTTTAATTATAGCATAGCACATTTTGTTCTTGTAAACTTTCTGATAAACTTGCAGATATATTTAATCAAATGTTTCATATCTCAGTAAATCTGCAGCTCTTCCTGCTTCTCTAAAAACGATGAAAGAACCAGTCTACTGATAAAATGATGCCAGAGAAACGGATTTTATCTAGAAGCTCTGCAGGGATTCAGATAAATTAAAAGAGCTGCATGAAGTAAAATTTCTATTAATTTAGGTTTAATTAATATTCTACGTCTTCCAACTGGAAATATTTATTTTTAACTTGAAAATGTTCATTTGGATTATCGTTAAAATCAAAATCAAAATCCTGTAGCTAAATAAATATCTTAAATATCAATAAAACTATTATTAGGAATATTAGGGCAATTTACATTCATCAGTTTGGAATTTTACATATTTTTTTATGAATTATGTTTATTAGGTATTTTTAAACATTTATACAAAAACTGAAAAATAAAGAACAATAACAGTGAAATAACTTATACAGCATTGATACAAAAAAAACACAACATCAAGAATCAGAGGGATGTAAAGAAATTACAGCATCATATGAGAAACAATTTCTACATACATGTCATTCACATTTCTGGTTTTTCATTTTGGAGATTTTGAAGTAATCATCTTTTTTTTTAAAGCATGAAGTTTCCCATTTATACAGTATCTCAATCTTTCTAGTACAATAACTTCAGAAAGCAAATTTTACATAATTTTAACTTAATTTAAGTTAAAATTTCAAATTTCAATAAAATCACCGATCACCTTATTGTTTTTCAATAATTAGTAAAACAGAATAAAACAAAATGAAAAGGATCCAAAGGAATTATCAGTAACTCTGTCTGTTCCAGCGTAGATCCTCATTAGAATTCTTTTAGTTTTATGTCTTCAGTTCAGGGGCCAGGACCTGATCTACAGGGGCACTGGCCCCCGTCTAGAACCGCCCATGGTTGCACCCACCCCCAGGTGCTGTTGGCTGCAGCAGATGTTGCTGTTCATCAGGAATCGGTTAGACTGAGGTCAAAATAATCGGCATCGGTCTTAAAACGCCCGTATGGATCTCTACCATAATCTGCCACCAGATGGCGGTAGTGAATATTTCTGAATAAAGCAATAGTTGCTGAAGTAACATCCTGCTCCCTCTGTTTGTCTGGACTCCAAAAGTCCATAGATGTTTGCCTATAAAGCGAATGTTTGATTTAAAGACCTAGAGAGCGGATAATAAACCTTTAGCTCCATCTTTATTCTTTGATTATTGGGGGAGTGGCGGCATAGTGGTTAGGGCACAGGGCCTGGAATCCTGAGATTGGGGATTCGATCCCCCACTGCCACCCTGGGTCCCTGGAGCAAGACCCTCAACCCCACACTGCTCCCCAGGACCCATTTAGTGGCTCCCCACTAAATTAGATCAATAATGTTCAATTTATTCATTTATTCTGCTGCTGGACCTCCAGGATCATCGTTTCCACTCGCCGCTCCTTCCTCCCTCACAGACCTTCAGGACGCTGCTGCTTTTTCCTCTCAGGATTCTCACAGTTTTTACAGAAGATTAGGAAAAAAAAAGTTAGCTGATTTTTAAATTTTATTTCAGTTTAATATGGGAAAAAAGTCAGAATTTTGAATTTAAACTCAGAATTAATTAAAGATTAAAGTCAAAATTCTAACTCTTTTCCCATATTAAACTGAAATAATATCTTCAGTTTAATGTGTGAAATATATATATTT